AATCCCAGAGTCAGATATATGGGTAAAAGCTGAAGGAACAGAGAAGGAAAACGGTCAGCCACTAGTTCTTACCTCTACCAATGCTCAGACCGAAGGGCCATCCTGTCCTCAGACTGCATCTGAGCTCCTGTCTCCCCCCCACCTTATATTCCTCTCTCCACCCAGCCTTATCACTCCTGTCTCCACCTCCCTAGTGCTGGGGTTAAAGGCATGTGATCCCAAGTACTGGGATTAAAGGTGTGAGCCAACACTACTGCCTGGCTCTGTTTCTTTGTTTTTATTTTTTTATTTTATTATTTTTTTATTAATTTATAAAAGTTTCCACTTCCGCCCCTCCTCCCAATACCCTCCCACTCCCTTTCCTCCTCCCTCTCCAGCCCTAAGAGCAGTCAGGGTTTCCTGCCCTGTGGGAAGTTCAAGTTCCTCCCCACTCTCTCCAGGTCTAGGAAGGTGAGCATCCAAACAGACTAGGGTCCCAAAAAGCCAGTACATGCAGAGGAAACAAGACCCAGTGCCATTATCAATGGCTTCTCAGACAGTCCCCGTGCCAGCCACATTCAGAGAATCCGGTTTGATCACATGCTCGTTCAGTCCCAGTCCAGCTGGCCTTGGTGAACTCTCATTGGATCAGTCCCCTTGTATCAGTGGGTGAACGCACTCCTCACGGTCCTGCCTTCCTTGTTCATGTTCTCCCTCCTTCTGCTCCTCATTTGGACCTAAGTCCAGTGTTCCAATGTGGTGGGTCTCTGTCTCTATCTCCATCCATCGCCAGATGAAGGTTCTATGGTGATACTGGCTCTGTTTCGTTTTTTTTTGTTTTTTGTTTTTTGTTTTTTTTTTTTTTTGGCTCTGCTTCCTTTTTAGACAATCTCGTGTAGCCCAGGGTGGCCTTGAACTCACAGAGATTTGTCTACCTCTCTCTCCTGAGTCCTGGTATTAAAGGAGTGTGCCACCACTGCCAGGCCTCTAGTGGCTTAGCTCTGGTACTCAGGCAGGCTTTATTTGCTAATGCACAAACAAAATTTTACCACAGGTGAGCATAGGACTGAAAGGAGGGAAATAATTAATGGTGGGTGGCTGTATGTGAAGACAGGCCCACAGGGTTATTGGTGGAAATACATGTTTTCTACTATTAATTACGCATGTGCATGTTATCAAGAGCTACTGAGTTCCAGTCTCAGCACTCTCTCAGGGTTCAGACTAGGACTTCTCTGACCAGCGAAGACTGACCTGGGCACGGGGTCTGAGGGACAGAACAAGCTAACTGCAGGCTTTACCCACATGTTTCTTTATTCCTTGGGAATAAGAGCATAGACATAAGGTGTAAGGTATAAAGGGATAAGGGCATAAGGGTAAAAGAAAGGGGTAAAGGGGGGCTGAAAAAAGGGGGTGATCTCCACAGAGCTTTCAGTTTATATAGGTGTACGGGCAAGTTAACAGTCCCATAGGTGGTAACAATAGTATCAAGTGTACATTTTCACAGAGTCACCACCAGAAACCCGTGGATGTCTTGAGGAGGCACCTTCAGTCTCAGAGGGGGCGTAGCTGTGAAGCTGGGGGCGTGGCTGTGAACACAGTTTTGGCAGCTGTGCTAACCTGGGGGCTTGATTTGCATTAGCCTCTAGCTGGTTGAGTTAAAAGGAATCTCTTCTGGGGACCTTGCTCTTGACTCCAGCGGGGAGCCCAGGTGAGAATTCTGCTCTCTGAAGCTAGTTTTAGCAATTCGGGTCTTTTCCCTGTAGAAACAGTTAATTTCCTGGTTTATGATCTTATGTTAGTTGAAACCAAGGTAAAGGATAAATACAGAATAGTAGTAGTCTGTGAAGTCAGAGCAGAGGACCAGGAGAGCACACCTTCCTGAGTCTGCGGTTAGAGCAGACACATTGCCTCCTGTATGAGGCTCATTCTTATCAGTGAGTACTGTCGTAAGAAAGTTTGTGTGGGAGCTATTGTTATGTAGATTTTGGCTATGAGGTCAAAGGTTTGACTGAATCCTTTTCACACCCTCACCTCGAACTCTCAGAGATCCACCTGCCTCTGCCTCCAGAGTTTTGGGATTAAAGGAGTGCACCACCCCTGCCTGCAAGCTTTCTTGAGTATAGTGGTGACCTCACAGTTATGCTGGGCACCACTTGTCCCCTTTTCTTGGGCAGGGTGAGGCTCACTGTGGGGAGGTAGGAAGTCTCTGTGGTGAGTCTGCTCTTGAGATAGAACCAACTCCTGTAACGTGTAAGTTGGATTAGACAAACCAGGTTTCAGTGTAACTATGTGTTTAATATAAATACACACGCATACATGAGTGCACACATAAACACACACACACACACACACTCACTGTTCTTTGCTTGTTGGGTCTTCCTGGGAGATTAAAGCAGCACCTCTCCCATGGCTGTCAAGAGACAGTTGCTACATCCATGAGCCCCACCCCACTCCAGTCTCTACTTGCCCTGACTTTCAAGGAGGAGGAACAGTTAATGTTTATACAGTCTGGGAAGCACCAGGCCCATCTTTAGTTTCTACTGAACACAGCCATTGATGTGACAGAGGTGCTGTTCTCCCTTCTGGAAAAGCCTGGGGCAGGGGAGTGACTCTTGGACCATCAGAGCTCCAGACTGCAGTCAGAACGCCGCTCCCCATGTTGGATTTTCTGACCTTAACACAATATACATAAAATATCCGTATAATGGGCAGTTGGTTCTAGATTTTGTTTTCTTCTCTCTGCCCATTCAACTTGCCAAGGGTGTGTGTGTGTGCACAAACAGCACCTGCTGCAAATTGTGACTGACACACAGTGTCACGCTTTTATAGAAAAAGACCGAAACAAATGACAATTCGTTTCACTGAGACCCGGTCTAAGTCCGACTGTTGTGTGACAAGCGTTCATGCGGAACACAAGCTAACTTGAGATCGAAGGTCGTCTGCTACTCCTTTGGCTGTTGCGTTACCATAGTCTCGTGACCCCAGCTTCATCCTGACCCCCTTGCACAGAGGAGGCCTAGTGACTAGTGAGTCCTTAAAGCACCTTTGCAAGTTGGAACCTGTGTGCTAGATAGCCTGGAGCCACAGCCTGGGTCTTGTTGGCTTTGTAACAGTGGGCAAGGTGATGACCTACCATTTCACACTGTGGCTGAGCTTGGTGGTAAGCCGTAGCCCTGCTTCCTAAGAATCAGAACTCTGGTTTACGTGCTTGTTTGATTTAATTTTTAAGTTGGTAACGGGCCAACGCCAAGGATTGAGTTTGCACAGCGGGACAGCGGCTGGAGTATACAATGTCCTATGCAAGGGTCCACAGAGGTTCCAGTCTGGATAACTGTGTCGCTTGGGTGTGGTTGGACTGACTGGAGGCACTCAATGTATCGGGTTGATTCAGTATTGTGCTCACACGGTGGAAGGACTGGGAAGGGAATGAAGGCCGAGGACATATGGGCCCCCTCTCCCTTCTTCCTCCATCCTGAAACTCGCTTTGCCGGGACTGCAACCAGATCAAGGAGTCGGATTTTCAGAGCTGCCACCAACTGCAGACCGAGAAGTCTGTTGCAAGCAGGGGAGCCCCTAGTTGTTTCTTGGTCCTATGCTGTACTACCCATTCCACCTCTGCCCCAGAATCATGCTGGAAGGGGACTGTGGGCCACAGCCGACTGAGTTCCCTAAGTGTAAAGGTCCAGGGAAGGGTGGTGTGCATAGAGGGTGGGGATGCCTCTGAGGCCCCGTGCCTGTGGGTCTGACAGTAGAGCTGAAAGGAGTAGAGTGGGGTAGAGGAGGGAGACTCAGACTGCCTGACCTGCCCAAGAATGGAGTGGCTTTGGGCACCCGGAAGCTCCCCCAAAGCAGAGGGACTTCTACAGTCTCTCATTGCCAAGGCTTGCCTGCCATCTGCAAGGTCAGGATGGAGATAGAAGATAAGGGGAGGGGGAGCCCTTGAACACAGGGGAAGCGGGCAAAAAACCTGTCGTTTTGTCTGACGTGGATGGTCTTGAAATAGCGCTAGCAATGGAAGCGACCTTCCATAGCCCCCTTCAGGGAGCGTGAGGTAATGTCTACTTTCTTGGTTGCTCTTGTGTTCTGGGGGTGCAGGCCAAGAATACGGCTAGCCAAACTGTAGTGTGTAAGTCAGCCCCCGTGGTTGTTCAGCTCCAGTGACAAGGCTACTGTAATTGATTTTGATCCCTGAGGGTGGGTAGGGTGGAATAAATCACGGAAGGTAGGGAAGGTGGGCGAGTTGGCCGGCCGAGAGTAGCTGGGGTGGGAGATTCAGCGGCCATTTCTGCTATGCAGGTAGTTTCCTGCTGGTCATGTGGTCCTTGCCAGCAGGTCCCTCACGCAAGTGCCTGGCATTTAAAAGTTCTGGGAGTGAGCAGAAACAATATTGTTTGTGAGGAACAAGGTGAGAAAGATTTTATGGCCGTGCCTGCGTGTGTGTATACGTGTGTGTGTGTGTGTGTGTGTGTGTGTGTGTGTGTATGCGTGTGTGTGTGTACATGCATGTACATACAGTGGTGTGTAGTAGGGGTGAGGAGAAACAAAGGGAGGCAGAAACACATCATATTATAGGTGGTAACCAGAGGTGCCCAGCACGAATTAAGATACATTCTTGCTTTGATGGATTTTCCCACTGAAGCTCCATCCTTGGATACATTTCCCAGGCTCCTTTGCAGCCTGGCTTCTGTTTGCCATGGTGACTCCTGATGGGAGCTGACTATACCATGCCTGTGGGTAAGTGAACTCGCTCTCCCCACATGGTGGTGCAGTCTGCCTCTACCCCTGCCTCCCCGGAGGGAAGCTGACGGACCGCAAGTGACCTACACTGTGTGTTCCGAGCAGTGTCTCCCACTTTCCTCGACTCCCTGTAACCGGGAGAATTGTGATGGGGATTGAGAGAGTGCACATACAGGTGACAGCCAATATGGCTGGCAATGAGCAGTTTCTGTCTTTCTCTGCCACACAGAAGTGATCACCTTTGTGGGTACCTGAATCTACATGCATGTATAATTCTCTTTCAGGGCATGCCACCATCACCAACTACTTGCTGAATTATTACCCCGGTCTGGACCTAGAGAGGCGGAACATATTCGGCTTCACAGCCCTCATGAAAGCGGCCATGCAGGGCAGAACGGAATGTGTGCGAGCCCTGATGTTGGCAGGTAAGGTCCTCCTGTCCAGTGTGGTCAGTGGGCTCGTGATACACCAAGGGGAGCTCCTTTAAAGAATGCATCTTAAACAGACCCATGCCGCTTACAGAAACAGTGACAGTAAGGGATAGATCTTTTTTTTTTTTTTAAACTGTATGGTTGTCATCCTTTGAGTTTCTTTGAAAAGCCGAAAGTAAGCTGGGTTACATAGCTCAGTCAGCAGCACGCTTTTACGCCACCCACAGACCCCTGAGATCTAGTCCTAGCACAATGCAAAACTGAGTGTGGTGATGGGTGCCTGCAATCCCAGCACTCAAGGTGCAGAGGCAGGAGGATAAGGAGTTCAAAGCCATCCTCTGCTACAAAGCAAGTCTAAGGCCAGCTCGGGATACCTGAGACCTTGTCTACATCTGTAAAGAAAAGTCCAAAGTAAATGACGTCAGGGCTGGCCAATGAGGGCTGACCACAGCCCTGGCCATTTCCTGAATCCCCCCCCCCCCCACTGCTCCCTGCTGACATCTTCCCTCCCCAGTCTATCGGCCTTCTAACTGTGCTCAGGTTTATTCCTCAAGAGTGGATATTCTGGGGGCCGGGCGGATAGCTCAGTGGGTAGAGCGATGTTCCACATGCCTGAGCACTGGGATTGGGATTCCAAGAACCCAATAAATGGACCTGGCAGCCCACCTGGGATTCCACACTGGGAAGGTGAAGACAGGAAGGGAATCTCGGGAGCAAGCTGGCTAGCCAGACTAGCTGAATGGAGGCACTCCAGGATGCGGATTCCTGACGTCCACTGGGCCTCCACATGCATACCTCCTTATGTGCATGTGTGTATATGCACCGGAACACACATGTACATGGAAAGGAATGTTCGTTCCGGCCTCACCTGTGTCCTAAGGAAGAAGATCCAGGTGGTGGGGGTGGGTTGGGAGAGGCTGCTCCTGCAGAACTCCATGGGTCTGTCCTTCGGCCACACGCTGGATCAGCAAGAACGTACCCTTACGCCACCTGTCCTTGACTCCCCGGATACTTCCCTGTCCTCATCTTTCTCTCCCTTCTCCCTGAGACAGAATACGATAGCACTTCGTAGACGTTTGATAAACCCTCCATGAGAAAGTCCTTATGACAGATCTCTTCAGTCCTGATCCTGACCTGCACCTGAAAATATCATTGTTAATGCAACATGAGCAGGTGTCTTTGCGAATTAATTGAGAAAAAAAGAACGGAAGGCGCACATAATAGTGGGTTCAGAGTTAGCATCTAACACCGCAGAGGGTGTTGCTGTTAATGTTCTCCACACTGGGTGTAGCCGGTCCTGAAGAGCCGGGACTTATTAACAGTGTCTATGTGCTGTTCTCAGTTCTGGAGGCTGGGAAGCCGGACATCAAGACACCAGCAGACTTGATGTCTGCGAGGAATCCAGTCCTTGTGTCTTCACATGGCAGGGTCAAGCTGTCCCCCTGAAGATTCTTTCCAAAGGGTACGAATCTCACTCGTGGGACCTGACTCTCAGAACAGGGCACGTCCTGACGTTCCCAGCTCTTAATATCGTCACAGTGGGTACAAAGTCCCAGCCTGTGAGTTTTTGAGGACACCAAGGTCAGATCACAAGTCTCCTCTGACTCTAGTTACCCAGTTGTAGTGACACTGTTCTAGACATTGGTCCTTCCCATGAATGCCCTATTTCTGTTCTGTGTCCCTGGCTGGCTCCCACGTGCGGGTCCCGGTCTGTGGCAGCTGCTCTGTCTGGACCTGTTGTCTGTCTGTCCCTGTTGTCTGTCTGTACCATTGTACAGCATCTTTCCACCTTATCCTTGTGATTAGTCTGCAGTTGTGCAGGGGTTCACAACCTTGGATTTTCTTTCTTCCTGCTTTAATCTTTATGCCTTAGAAAATACTTTTTAAGAAAAACATCCCAGATTTAATGAACAACAAAAGAAGCTTAGAAGACAGAAAACTCTCTTGGAAAAAAATCATAATTAGGATTGACTCCTAGGACTGATCCTAGGATCCATATGGGGGAAGAGAAGCAATTCCTGCAAGTTGTAGTCTTACCTCCACATGCAAGGTTGGCATGTGTGCATGTATGTGCATCTACGCATTCGATAAATACGTACATGTTAAAGGGTATTTTTAAATGAATCCCACCGATTCATTTTAAACCCAACTGAGTTTAATTTTTAAAAGCTAGATATCGGGGTCAGCAGAGGTAAGGTCCTCCTGTCCCATTTCAGTGAGAAGTAGTCATTTCTAATTAGATGGTGATTATCTGAGGCTATTGTGCTGGATGAAAGCTTTGTCCGTTTCCACTGTGTCAAGATCTAGTTATAGCTAGATGGAGATCTTTAATGATTTTATGTTCTTTAGCCCAAAAGTTAGGGTGTCAGTCTCATCAAGTGCATTTCCTCCAATTAATTAATTTGAACCATCAATTCTCTTTTGGCAGGAAGTCAAGTCACCATTCCTGTCATTTCTTCTTAGCTGTCCTGCAGTTTCAGACTCCGCTGCAGCCTCTAAAGTTTCTCAGAAATGCCTTCCACAGCCTCTGGAAGATGAGGCCGGTTCGGGCTCGATGCTAACATTGCTCTTTCCACCCCTGCCTGATGTTTGCTTACAGATTTGACATAAGGTCTCTAAACTTAACTCTTCTCGATTGATCTCCACAACCACCGTGAGCTTCTCCCCTCCACCGAAGTCTACAATAATTGTCAGGAGTGTGCCTTGTTCACTGTTGGCGGCGTCCTGTCGAGCGCAGCGGAAACGAGCCCAAAGCCAGAGTACAGCTTCCTGTGCAGCCTGCTGCTTACCTGTGCATGGCATGTTTCTTACCTCTCTGGGCCTCAGACGATGACAGAGGCCTGACGGCAGCCATATCACAGGAAGTTGTAGGTGGGATTTTGTTCATGTGAGGACAAGGTGCCTATCTTGAAGCAAGCTGTGAATACATGCTGGATACAATCAGCTTTCATTGTTGGTACATTTATACGGTCAGGAGTTACTTGTGAATGCATGAAAAATAGAGCATAGTTTTCTCTTTGAAAGTCATCCTTGGGATGAGGTGTTTGTGCTAAGAAGAGTGTAGCTTCTTGACACTAGTGACACGTGGGGCTAGTTCAGTCCTTGTGGAGGCCATCTTGCCAATGTAGGGCTTCCATTTACCAGATGACTGGAGCACCCTCCAGCTGGGACACCCCAAAATGTCCACGAATATTGCCAGATGACTCCCAGGGATGTGGTTGTCTCCCACAAAGAGTCACGGAAACAATTAATTAAAGTAGAATACGATAAATTTAAAAAAAAAAAGGAGGAAGAGACCTTCCTGTTCTTGGACACCGTTCTCCTTGGCCAGCTCTGCTCTGGAGTCCACCTCCCTTAGGGTGCATTTGAGCTCCGCAGAAGCCTGATGGGAGTGCTTAGCCTCTGGAATGTTCTAGTTCACACCTGCCTTAGCTTATAATTATCAGGAAGCTAAGCTTCGCTTTCCTTTTAGAGGAGATGTATTTTAAAGGAAGCCGTGTGGCCTCCCTGGGTTTGTTAGACAGCAGTGAGGATGCCTGCTGGGATATTTTCAAATATTCGCCGCTATTTTGATTTTTTATTACCATTTAAATATAGTAGTATTAGCAAAATGGAGATATTCCTAGGTACCAGTTGCCTGTGCTTTTCTTGAAATTAACCCCTCCACATAGAGTGTATTTAAGTACAGGAGAGGACTGTGACTGAGAAGCAGACTACAGAATTGGCCTATGGTTATTTTTTAAAAAGGCACATACAATACTACATACTAGTGTAAAACACATGTATCTCGTTCTATTTTTTTTTTTTTTTAAAGAATGCAGGATTCTTTGATTCCTGAGTGCTTTTAACAGCAGATTTGAGTTTCTGGCTTGCAATTTTATCCTGTTCAGTTATAACCACTTCTCCTAGAATGATGAATGATTGAATTGGCTGACCTCCTACACCCTTTAGCTTTCTCCACAGTCGGCAACGCACGGGCTCACGGCAGCCCTTATCTGCATTGTCAGGTAGGATAAAATAATGTTGGGATTATCGGAACTCTGAATTTAATGACAGATGCAGCCAATTCTGCAAACCGACCCGGTGGCTGTTTGGACAGGCTTCCTGATAATGTCAGCCATTCTGATAAGCATCGGAAGGGACGTGCGGCACCTTGTTAACCTGCTGGAATATTAATGCGTCGACGTGACAGGTCTATTTCCGTAAGTGGCTCCGAGGAGCTGTGTCAACGATGTGATTTCTTCCCTCCATGGAGGTTGCCAGGTTTCAGACCGGCTTAACAGAGTTCACTTTGTTCCTGAAGTGTGATGTAATTGCAGGCTCGGGAGGAAGAATGTGAAGCCCCCTGTGGTTCTTGGCAACCAAACAGATTGAAAGGGAGGTGAGGAACACACTGCAGACACTCGTCCCTGTGTGTGCTCCCCTCTTAGACAAACCCTCACGGCTTGCTGCTCAAAAACCAGACCATTTGTGTCAACTCAGAACTTGCTTTCAGTTTATCAGGAAGACGGACATTTCCTGTTCAAGTTATGAGCCCAGAAGATGCCCAGTGGCAGGGACTCTGCACTGAAGAGACCCCATGTAGAATGTGACCTTAGGAAGAGGCACTGAGGGGAGGGAGGCGAGAGCGACGGTCCCCTTGTGGGCCACTGGATGGCAGCCTGAACTCTGAGAGGCTCTGACTCCCAGGAATGCCAGCTGAAGGCCTGGGTAAGCTGTGCGGTGATCCTCGGGCTGACCTCCCGGTAGTGCCGGGTCCCCATTTGCTGAGTGTCACAGGAGACTTGCCATTCCCGTGTTGGCAGGTGGCCCTTGCGTCACAGTTGACTGTACCTTCAGGGCCTAAGTTATAGGTCAGAGCAGGCACATTGGCCATGGTGTCAAGGACGGGTCTGCAGTGCCAGGAGGGAGGCCTCAGCTGGGTTTTGTAGGACGGATAACATGGAGGGTAGCTACTGGGACAGAAAAGGAAAAAGGAAGTGGCACATTCCTGCTTCCTGCTTCCTGCTTCCTGCTTCCTGCTCCGTCTCCCTCTCATTGGCCCTCTGGGCCTGGATCTTCACGCCTCCCAAGGGAGAGTGTTCCTGAGACCGAGTGATAGAAGGCCTGCCTGTTCTCCATAGCACTTGCTTTAGATGGTTCCAGTAACAAAATATTCCATTCTGGGAATGATTTAAAGAAGGCAGACATCAGTTTCTCTTAGCTCAGTAGAAGCCATGAGTCAGCAGATCCTACCCAGGGTTGACCTGGCTTCCATGACATCACAGACCCTGCTTCTTTTCTTAAGTTCTAAGTTCTCCTTAGTCTGTTGACTTATCACCTTGCTCGTGTGTGTGTTTATACATACATGTGTGTACGTTGGTGTATATGTAAGTATGTATGTGTACATTGGTGTGTGTTCACACGTGTGTGCACATTGGTGTGTATGTTCATGCATGTGTGCACATTGGCGTGTGTGTTCCTGCATATGTGTGTAACATGAGGGCCGGCTTGTTGGGGTTTCTGTCCCGCCCAGTACCCCACAACCGGCAAGCAACAAAGAAAATCACACACAGGACTTCATAAGATTATAAACTGATTGGCCCGTTAGGTCAGGCTACTTATTAGCTCTTATAACTTATGCTACCCCATTTTCCTTATCTATGTTAGCCACACGGCTCAGTACCTTTCTCAGCTGGGCAGGTTACATACTGCCTCTTCGGTGGTCTGGACAGAACTGTGGAGGGAGCTTCCTACTTCCCAGAATACTCCCAGTCTCTTTGCTCCACCCCTACTTCCCGTCTGGCTTTCCCACCTATACTGCCTGCCTGGCCAATCACGTTTTATTAAAATATGATTGACAGAATACAGACAATTCTCCCACACCATGTGTGCACATTGGTGCATGGGTGTGCATACATGTGAATGTGTGTAGAGGTAAGAGGTTGGTGTTTAGTGTCTTCTTTTGCTCTCCACCTTGCTTTTTGAGCATGGTTTCTTGCTGAACATGGAGCTTTCTGTTTTAGCTTGATTGGCTAGTCATGAGCTCCAGGGATCATCCCCCTGTCTCTGCCTCCCCAGCACTGGGATTATAGGTGCTCTCCAACATTTCCAGTGCCTGGCTTTTTACATGGGCTAGGAATCCATTCAGGTCTTCCTGATCATGTGGCAAACACTTTATCCACCCTACCATCTGGCCAGCCCCCTTTGGCACCTTGTTTCTGTGGGAGTCACCAGACCTCTGGGCCCCTGTCTGTGTTTCAGGTAGGAATCAACAACGGCAGGAGGCAAAGAACTCGTTACTTACTGATCACTCCTGGGTACTGGGCCACAGGAGGCTGGCTGGCTGGGAAACAGGACCATAGTCTTTAGGTTGGACCAGCGATTCTGAGATGGGCAATGTTGTCTCCTAGATGATATTTGGCAATGGCCAAAGTAGAGTTTGGCTGTCACAGCAAATGGGCTACTACTGGCATCTTTGAGTCAGAGACCAGAGGTGTTATTAGAGTTCTCACAGGGCACAGGCTAACCCCATAACAAAGAGGTAACTGGCCAAAAATTCCAGTGCTTTCAACATTGAGCAAGCCTAGGTTAGACCAATCATGTTGTAGTGTGTATATTTGAGTATAGTGCCTTCTTCAGTGTAGTAGAGCATTTTGTACAGGTAACTTACAGCATAGAGCATGGCAGCCAGTAGCCACCACAGTGAGAGCCCAAGTCATGTCTCCAGTTTTGTTCAGTGGGTGAAATGATGCTGGCTAGGAGTGGAACTCAGGTGAGTCACTGTAAGGAGATGGGTCCAGCAGCATTTCCCAAGTTTCTGTTACTCTTTGAAAGGTATCAATGTAAAGTGTGAATCATCTTTTAGGTTGGTAGAGCATTTGCCTGATATGTGCAAGGTCCTAGGTTCAGTCCTCAGCACTGCAACACATTCTTCCAGCTCCATGTCTTAGCATCTATATTTGTGGGTTCAGCTAGCTGTGATAGAAAACACACACACACACACACCCCTTGGTCAGACCTTTTTTGTTGCCATCCCCTAAACACAATGTAGCAATGATAGATGGCATTTGTATTGAGTTAGGATTATGGGTAATCAGAAGATGTTTCAATGTATCGGTATATAGGCTGATGTGCATAGGTTCTATACAAATGTTCCATTTTATATGTGGGACCTGAGTCACCTCAGAATTTGGTATTCAGTGGGGATCTTGGGTCCAGTCCCTTGTGGAGGCCAGGGACAGCTGTATCATCACTCATAGTTTACTTGCTGTTACCCTTAGCAGCAGTTTCCTGAGGAAGTAGGTCACTAACATGGAGCTTGGTGACTCGGGGTCCGGGGCTGCTGTAGTAGAAGTGGCTCGTCTTCTTGATTTACAGCATTTGTTTTCTGATCGTGTTAAAAGGTAGGAGGAAGACAGCTAAGCTCTGGACAGCCATTCCTTTCATTTTTCATTAGCATTTGAAAAATGTCTCTTTCATGCAGTGTTCATTAAAGTTTTAATTTCGCAGTTTGTTCCCTTTTAAAGTGACATGCAATTAATTAAGGTTTAATGTGTCATCTATTTTTGCGGTGGCATTTTTACTGCCCCCTTTCCATTTTCCTAGTTTATAAATTGTGCTCTAGCTAATGAGTTCCTCCTAAATTCCAGTTCCAAGTAATTGCCACTTTCCGAAGACTGGTATTCTTTAATATGTCGCGGGACTAAGGCTTTTAGCAGGTACCTAGGGTAGTGGTCTTCCAACCACGAGGCTGATGTGGGCCTGCAGGGTGGGGAGGTGGCTGAGCCCCACGCTCTTGACTCAGAGCAACTGATCAGCCACCATGTTAGACACGTGAGTCTGTGTGAGATCTAAATGAAGGTGCCGATGCTGGCTGGGTCCCTGGGGAGCTCACAGACTAGATAATTGCCCCAGTTCTGGATGCTTTGCCAGCGGAGAGTAATGGGACTTAGACTTCTGCATGATTTTTAACTATGCTGAGCTGAGATTGGACCAAGATGAACCAGACTGCGGTTCTGCATCCATTTCTGTAGGCAGCAGTTGGAATGTATGCGGATCTCAGCTGAGCTGGGGTTTAAGTCTGCAGTATCTTTTGGGGAAGGGGACATGGAAGAGAGATTTTCCAGGGAGTGACCATTGTCTCTAAAGAAACAGCCGGTAGGGCACATAAGTGGTTCATTTTAAAGAGTTGTCTTATGTAATCGTGGGGACTGGGGAATCTGAAACTGATAGGGGGTGTACAGGAGCAACCGGTTCGGTGTTCCAGGAAACCTCTGGTTGCTCTTACACCCTGCAGCTGATCGGATGAGGTTCCACCACGTTTGAAAAGTAACCATTGTGACTCTGAGTTTATCTCTCCAGGCTTGTGCCCAGCTCAGGATTTGGTCTGGTTACTCTGGCCTAGCCAAGAGAATGCAAAACTAACCAGCATAACGGTTCCAGGTTCTGCCGCCATTCTTCATCTGTGGAAGAGCATCCTGGCCGCCTGACCCACTGGGGCAATGTGTGTTTTTGTTTTTCAGGGGCAGATGTTCAAGCGAGGGATCCCCGCCGTGGGATGTCACCACAGGAGTGGGCTGCATACACTGGCCGAGTGGAGGCTGTTCGTGTCATGCAGAGGCTGATGGAGCGACCCTGCCCAGAGCAGTTTGGGGACAAGTACAAGCCAGAATTACCGCTTCCCGCGGAGGCGCTCTTGAAACCAGCGCGTTCCAAAAACTGCTTTCAGAGATTCACAGAGTTCCTGCGGTCTACGCTGACCTCCCGCTCAGGCCAGGGTCTGGCGGATGGAGGTGTCCTTGATCACATGGTCAGGATGACTACCAGCCTTTATAGCCCCGCCATTGCTGTCATCTGCCAGACTGTGTGCCCCGAGAACCCTCCCTGTGTGGGGAAACGGCGCCTGGCAGTGCAGGAAATCCTAGCAGCTAGGGGGAACCCGGACACCTATGCTCAGGATGGCTCTGAACTGCAATCCCAGACTTTGGAGACTCCCAGAGTGAATCCCTGGTCATCCCAGTCCTCTGGGGTCCCAGGACCCACCCCTGCCCCTGTCTCGCGGAAGGCCAGCCTCCTGCCCTTGCAGTTGCTGCGCAGAAGCAGCGTGCGGCCAGGAGTGGTGGTTCCCAGGGTGCGCATCAGCAAGGCCCCTGCGCCCACCTTCCAGCCCGACCGCCCAGCCCCCAAAAGCAATACCAAGGACAGTGTACACCTGCAGATCCCCAAGTGGCGGTACAAGGAGGCCAAGGAAGAGAAGAGGAAGGCGGAGGAGGCGGAGAAGAAACGCCAGGCAGAGGCTCAGAAGGAAAAGCGGGCGCCACGCTGGAGGAAAAGGACGTGAAGGGGCCATGGTACCCACTGCGTGTGTGCCTGGTGTGGGAGGCAGCGCAGGGATCCAGCTGGGAGGCTGCGGGTGGTGTAGACAGCGCCATAGAGAGGGGTGTCCCTCTCTGCTGCATTACACAACCTCTGGGTCAGTCTCCTTTCCTAGATTCATGAAGCAGGTTCCCCATTGTTCCCAAGACAGAATTGAAAAGAGTACGGATGGCTTTTGCTTAAAACTAGTTCCCTGAGCAGTCTATACACCCAAAGGGCAGTTAACCAGACGTCACCCCTTAGAGGACCCCAATCAAGAATTAAAAAACCTAATTTATCAAAGGGCATTTTCGCATACTTTTGTATTTTGTTATTTATGAAAAATCGCAGCATTTTACAAGTGGTGGACTCTTCGTAATTAAGGTAGTTTTAATACCTGTGTTTTGGAGACCCTTTGTTTAAAATGCTGACTCTAGCAATAAATACTTGTAATGATTGTGTGAATCACACAGAACTCTGGGATCCTCCCCCTTTGCCCTTCGGTTCTGGCTTTTGCCTTCTCGTGTCCTGTGGACACACCTGCGCACTGGCTTTTCCTATGGACTCGCGTGATGCCAAATGCCCGTTTCTACTTGGTGAGGGCACCGACTTCTGTTCACAATGACCAGGGGAGATGGAAGTCTTCCTTCCTTTCCTTTCGTTTCTTAGACCCCTTTGTTCCGATCGCCATCATCACCGTCATCATCATCATCATCATCATCATCATCACCATCATCATCATCATCTATATCACTGAAAGTGACCATGGCCCATTGCAGAAGTGCATATGTTGCTGGGACCAAACTCATTTAAAGCAAGAGCCTTGGATAGACAGACTATCCATCCTCCAGGTGATCTGAGGCAAACAGTTATTCAGCAGGGGCAGATTTAACAAAAGAGTAGTAGAAACACAGTCATGTGTGCCCAGAAAGAAACAAATGTGGGTATCCTTAACAGTGTCCAAGATGCAGAGGGCAGGGATGCTGCACACTGTTGAGGGGGCAGACGGATGACTTTTAGGACAGGTGGTACACCCTGGATACTAGACAGCAGTTTGGGGAAGGTTTTCCTGTAGTGGTCTACACTCCGGTGGCCCTCTCCTCCGGGAGTCCCGTGTGTGTTTTAAGTGACAGTTTCCCTTTGATGAGCCACAATGTTTAGCCCATCCCAACTTTGTAAAACTTCCAATATGCCGGGACTCAGGCTGGGATGGGATTTGCCTTGGGTGCCAACCTCTCAGTGGAAGGTTTCTTTCTATACCTTTCTTTCTTTTAGCTCCAAAGCATTAAAAAATTCCCAACTGAGTCGTAGCATATCGGTCACACATGCACTTTATGTGAATATTTAATGTAAATACTTGGTAGCTATAGATTCAGAATATTACAGACTGATTTGGAGGCCCTTTGCTGAGGTCCGTCTTACACTGTGAGGAGAGTGAGGGTGGTACTGGCTTAATCGTAATCCTTTATACTTGGTGCCATTAGGCATTGAGCAACGAGAGTTCTCACACTAGCTTTCCCCGAAACACCATAAAATAGGGCAGTCAGACCTTAGGTTGCTCCCAGGTGGATTTAACACTGGTGTCACTGTTCAGTGTTTAAAAGTCACATTTAAGTAGGTTTCACTTTAACCAAGGTGAGTGCTGGGGTGTGGCTCCTCCTCTCCAGCTATTGACAATAGGTAACCTGGTTCACCATTGTGACCTGGGACTCTGGATTGACAGCATCTCTTTGGGGCCATGAGGACCTCAAGCAACCTCAGTCTTATGTTGGGAATATCTTTCCTACCTCTCAGCAGCATGGATCTTCCTGCATGCCCCAGACCCTGCCGCTGTTAGCCAAGGCAGCACCACAGTGCTTGCAATCCGTAGTCCTCACTCTGGTTGTCCACAGATACAGCACAGCTTTCATCCCTTTCCCTGCTGCAGAGAGGGAGCTGTACCCCAGTGCTGTGGAAGGGGTCAAGCTGACTTCTGCTGTAGAAGTGGAGCTGTGGCTTCTCCGTAGGGGGCTGTAGGGAGCCCCACTTCTTTTAGGGGGTCTGCCTGGATACTCAGCTTGAGCTCCCATGGAAGGCTCATTTCTGTAGGATGTCTGGTTGTCACAAGAAGGGCCTGTTTTAGACAGCTCCTGCAAGGGATGACGTGGTATCTGGTATTAGTGCATCGCCGAATCGCCCACCCTGTTTACACCGTCTTAACGTCACCTTAGGAACTGTACATAACTCTGTTAAGCCTGGGTCCCTGCTGCTGACTGAGATGTTCAGTTTTGGTACCTCCCAACCATCTACCTTTTCCTGATCCATTTTCAGATTCACCCCACATAAGCATGGACTACTCACGGTGTTGCAGCAGGGGGCTGGAGGCTTCTTTGTTTTCCAGGTGTTTGAAAGAGGAGCTCTTCCGTAAATGTGCCAGCCCCGACCAGACACCAGGATGACATTGTTACTTGTATCTACACGAACGCTCTGGTGATACCTGTGTTAGTTAAAAAGACTTCTAAACCCAGAAGCCTGGGTCAGTCCAGAGAATTTTTCTTTTATTTTTTGGCAGACCTTGGTGTGAAGCATCCTCTCTCCCTCTCTCCTCATTCTGCGGAGCTGCCTCTATCTGATGGGCCTTGCACTAAGAAGGTCAATGACAGATGTGTGGACATTTGGGGGAAGCCTTCTTCCTGGTGAGCTTTAGTTTGTTCCCTGGGGAGAAAGATGGAGCTGTGAAACTTCCAAGTGAAGGGAAGGCCAGTCCAGCCTGGGCTGGAGAGCCTTTCCAGTGTCTCTCCCGCTGTGTGTCTGAGCTTGTCCTGTGGGAGTGCTTCTCCAGCAGAGGGGCCGCTTGGAGCAGTTGCCCCAGTCGAGGAAAGCGTTGCCTAGCCTCTTCCCCATCCTGGGGTCGGGGTGGCTTTCACTCTTCTGTTGTCTCTTACCAGCGCCCTGCCCAGAGCGCAGGTGGGAGGAGCGTGGACAAGCACTTGTGAACAGAGTCCTCCTACCCATGCTCGTCTGGATCTTCAGGGGCACCTGGGAGTGAAGTGGGTGAAATGGAGTAGAGGGGCAGGTGTGCCGTTCACGCCATCTTGAGAAGGGAGCAAGCCTTGAGGTCTAAAAAGGCAGGGAAACAAAGGCTCGTGAGAAAGCCCTTGCTTTTCCCACTGCACTCTCAGGCTGAGACCTCTAGATCCCCAGGAGAGGATGCAGGGCAGGGCTGTGGCTTCAGGCCACCATCTGAGACCTCTAGATCCCCAGGAGAGGATGGAGGGCAGGCTGTGACAACAAGACATTGGCTCTGCCTTCTGCTTTTAGAAAGGAGGCCCAGTCTGCTTTACTGACTTGGCAGAGCTGAGGCACAGGCCTGGGGGCCTGCTTGGCCTTGTGTGTATTAATTGTAAATAGTGAATTCCAAGTGGACAGGTGTCTTCTCAGGGATTTATACATAAATATAGTTAGGGGAGAAGTTGAAGTGTAGTTTAAATCTTTTTGGTGGTAAAGTCAATTAGGGTTAAACTGGATGAAAGAAATATTTCCAAGACAGTGTCAAAGCTGTTGTATCTAAGGGAGATCCTGGGACTTGTCTCTCTGGAGATTTATGGGGACCTTGGTGGTAGGAGTGGCTGTGCGTATTACACCACAGCCGTGTCTCTCAGCTGCTGCTTCTAGCTGTGACCCTTGTGTTAACAGTTGCCTCCAGGTAGGCAGAGGTGACCAATGCCCAGATGGACGGTCCATACCCACCCCCCAGAGCTGTTCTCTGAGCCCCTGGTCTATTCTCCTTGCTTTTAGGATAAGATGGCCATAGTCATTGTACGGAAGCCCACAGGGTGCCTCAGGAAGGAAGGATGAGGGACACTCTGTACTCTTGATCGGTCAGTGGCCGCCATGGGCAGTGTGGTTGCTGTACTGGAGCAGGACAGTAGGTGGCAGGAGAGACTTTGCACCTCCTTCAGCTCCTTCCAGGCTCCTGGGCCACTCCTGATACCTGTGGGGGGGGGGAGTGGGGGGGGTGAGAATGGCAAGGTATTTTCCATCTCAGCTTTGAATTCCCCAGACTCATCTCACACACCAGGAAAGGGAGGATTCATGATGTGGGCTAGAAACTGGGTTTTATAGACTCAGAGAGGGTGTGTCAAGAGGCCTGTGCTCATTCCGTCCCAGCTGGCAGCTGGAACCAAGGCTGTTACAGACAAGGCTGTTCCGGGCTTGTGGGGAGGGGGCTGGCTCCAGTCCCCAGGAGTCTGGAAGCATCCACAGTTATTCCCCACGCTGTTTAGAGTGATGGTGTCTCGCCGTAAATTCCCTCCTCTCATACCACGGTGCTTTTCTAGCGACTGGGAAATTCCAGCAGGTTCCCCGTGAGTTCTCCAGTGCTGGTCACTGTCTGGGTTCTGATCCGTGCTGCTAGCCCTTGGCCCCTTCAAGCCCGGCAACAGTGTGGGAGGCCATGACTTCTAGAGCGTGAAGGCGGGAGGAACACTGAGTGTGATGAATCCTTAAAGAAACAACAAAGTCACACTTAAAACAGAAGAATAGCTGGGGCTGTCAGAGCGACGGTAGAGTTGGCCGCAAAGAATGAAAAGCCACTTCTTAGTCACCCTGGCCAACTCTGCACATCTAACCTGAGTCCGCTATTCATTTCTTTGCTATTAAATTCACATGTTTACTTATTTTTTATTTTTTTTGAGCTGAGGACTGAACCCAGGGCCTTGTGCTTGCTAGGCAAGCGCCCTACCACTGAGCTAAATCCTCAACCCCCAACTTCACTTGTCTATTCCTTAACATTTTCTATACGTGACTGAAAATTCCTCCGGAGGCTTTATTTTATGGAATATTATTATTTAAAGACTCAGTGCTATTGGGAATGCTACCTGCTTTGGTCTGGCTGAATTGGTTTGGCTGGTTTTCAGGTGTTACTGCTGGAGGCCAGGTGCTACACATGCAATTTTCACGCCCTGCCCCAACCTGAAGTAAGACTATAATGAAAGATGAAGCCCTGTTGTGCGCTGGCCACCCTCAGCAGCAGGTTATAGTAATGGGATCCGTGCATGACATCCACTTAAAAGTGCAAGCTGGAGGGCCAGAACTCCGCATGTAAATGTCCTAGCTGCAGTGGCTCACGGTGGCCCTCAGGGAGAGTCTCTGCGACCTGTTTGAGGTGTGTACTCAGGCGGATTGCAAGGCCTGCGGGTCTACCCAGAGACCCCAAACAGTGTGAAACCTGATTTGGCTGGAGTTTCCACACCCTAGGCTGTCCTACGAGGAAATGGTGCTGTCCCAGGTGGCTAAGAGCAAATAACCCAGCTGTGTATGGGTCAACTCTGGCTTTGATGCATGTCAATTGTGTGAGGGGCCCAGACCCAAGAGCACCCCCCTGGAGAGCTCCCATGGCCTCCCAGAGCTGCTGTCCTGCTTGGGGGGGGGGGGCGGTGTGTGGCGCGTATACTCTGTGGGACTTGACACAGGTGAACACCCTAGAACAGAACGGTACTCTAAGGAAGCGTTGGGATTTTCCAGCCTGCCTTGGTATTAGATCAGCTGGCTAGTTCTGGTTTTGAAAACAGTCTGTTGGCTGTCACGTGACTTGCATTGTTGAGAAAGAAAACGTAGATGGCAGAGACGTGAAGCTGTCCATCCCAGGCAGAGCAGCAGGCTGTGCTGACCTGACCTTGTTCTGGAAACTAGTTCACAACGGTGTGACTCCGTGTACACGCGACAGGGACTGTGAGTGGACACCGCATGTCCAGAAGTGGCACCGTCATCCTCTCCGCCACCGACCTGGGGCCTGCTGTGGAGTTAGAACCCAGAGCTCCATTTGAGTGGTGGCGAAGCCTGCTACAGCTGGAGCTTTCTTGGTCCAAATGATAATTCTAAAAACAAACAAAAAGAAGAGAGTTGGGCCTAGAATTTGTTGGTGTGTGAGAGTCTTTGCTTCCAGTGGAGGGAGACTGGCGGTGAGGAACGGAGCCAACTTTTGCACTGCCAGGGTTCAGGGTCTGCCTTCTGGTTTGAGCTCTGTTTACTGAATGTGAAGCCATTTCCTTTGTCAGTCCTAAACCCCCCGTGAGTTTTTGGATGCTGTACAGATGTTGAATGTGGATATCATTGTAAATTCCAGAGTGATTTATTTTGAGATGAGACTTTTGCTACAGTTTGTAACAGGATATTTTCCTATTTAGACCTCAGGGACCCTGGGACCCACTAATAAGTGTGACCCTCCCACCCCCAGCAGCTTCAATTCTGGATAGACGAGTTATGTAATCTTGAAGTTAAATGTGATATATTATTCAGTAGAAAGAATGTGTTTCTCTCTTTCAACTTCTGACAAATTCTTGGAAAAGTGTAGAAAAAAGAGACACTAGAAAAAAAATAAACCAATGGTAAAAAGAATTAAAAATCACCTGTAAAATAAACTTTATGGTATAAAATTGTGATATTTGAATAAATGTATTGCATAAATTATTTTAAAATACTGTGAAATGTATGGTATTTTCTGTCGTTTGCTTTGGTTGAAGCGGTTCTATACATTTTGCTTCTACACACTTCCAGTTTCTTTTCATGGGTGTTTCTCATGAGTGCTTCTTCATACCTCACAAGGACCATGGTCCACCCTTTCCAGAAGGCTCACCCCTCAGACAGAAGACACCCCAGTTTTCCTCTGTCTCCCTTTATCTGAGTGGCGCACCATATATATTATCATTCAGGGATTTTTTTTTGATCATTAATTAAAATTTCCTTGTGGAGTTTTAAAAATAATTTAGAAATGTAGTTTTATATTTATGACTTATTTGTGTGCATGTGTGTGTATGCACAATTGTGACACACTTGCCATTGGTGTGGTGGGTTAGAGGAATTGTGGAAGCTAATCCTCTCCTTCCACCAGGCAATTACTGGAGATCAAACTCACGTGACCAGGCTTGGCCGCTCCCTTTGCTCACAGCTGTCTTCCCAGTCTAAAGGTGTAGGTCAGGTTGTTCTCAAATTTGCGATCCTCCTGCCTCTGCCCCTTCAGCATGTCCTATTTTTATGTATCACTACAGCTTGTTTAAAATATTTTTAAAAAAGTAGTTTTCACAGAACCAAAGATAGCCAACCTGAGTGGAGGGGGCAAGAAAGCACGGTGAAGGGTCTGTGAGGAAGAGACTCCTCAGCACCCAGGCTGCTCCAGAGCAGCTGTGTGATCCTTCTAGAGCTGGACCTTCCTTTTAACTTCTCATTAAAATTTTATTATTTTACTTTATGTATATGAGTGTTTTGTATGCCTGGTGCTCTCGAATCTTCTGTAATGGGTTGCAGATGACGGCCGGCTGCCGTGTGGGGACCAGGAATCAAACCTAGGACCCTTAGGAGACGAGCCAGTAACAGTTGAACTATCTCTCCACCCATGTGTCTTTATTTTTTAAAACTGTATTTTACGTATAATACAACTTATATGTCAAATAATATTATAATAGCATTGATACAGTTCTGAATAGAAGAAAAAAAGAAAAAAAAATCAGGTTACAAAACCCCTCCCCCAGAGCGAATTTTTACAAACCATTTTACTAAGTTGGGTCCGTGTGACTAGTCATGTCTAATTCCTCTTTCATGAACGGTCAATGGAATTAAAGGAAGCCTAGCTTCCACACTCACAGGCTCAGAGGAATAACATATGCTGGATTCTTTTGAAATGCAAAATGGTTCTTGCTGCTTCAATGCACAAAGTTGAAATCACAGACGCACTGTGAAACTAGAGAAACATTAGCTGTCTGTCTTCTTTCCTGTTCCACGTGTACTGCCTGAACCCCACCCTTCTTCATTTCCTGCTATCACCCTCTCAATATCCTTCCTAAATTTAGGGACTTTACCCACACTCACAGACTAATGTGTATGTGAGTATACATATGCATGTATACATGCATATATGTGTGTATACATATACATATAAATGCATGTTGTCACTTACATGTAGACACAGGCTTATACTGTATAGAGCTGTGGTTTTAATTTTTTTAAAGATTTATTTATTTTATGTGTATCGCTGTTTGGTTATTTAAAAGAAAATGGTCCCCAAAGGGAGTGGCACTCTTAGGAGGTGTGGCTTTGTTGGAGTGGGTGTGGCCTTATTGGAGAAAGCGTGTCACTGTGGGGGTGGGCTTTGAGGTCTCATCCTTGCTCAAGCCATGCCCAGTGTCTGAGATCACTTTTGTTACCTACAAGCCCAGATGCAGGACACTCCAGCTACACATCTGCCTGCACACTACTGTGTTGTAACATGATGACAACGGACTAAGCCACCCCAATTAAATGCTTTTCCTTCATAAGAGCTGCCATGGTCGTGGTGTCTCTTCACAGCAGTAGAAACCCTAGAAGAGGGTGTTTTGCTGGCATGTGCATCTGAACTGTGTGTGTGCCTGGTGCCCTCAGAGGTCAGAATATGATAGGATATCCCTTGGAACTGGAGTTGCAGCTGGTTGTGAGCCACCATATGAGTACTGGGAATCAAATCCAGGTCCTCTGGAAGAAAAGGTGTCTTCCTTTTTTTCTTTTTTCAGCAAGTATTCTTAATCACTAAGTCAGCCCCTAGAATTGTGTCTTTGATATGTTTTTCCTTTGTTGTAAACAAGTTCCCTGTCATTAACCATGTGGCTTTGTGAACACACTGTTTACAGGGAACATTTTAGATCTCTTCCATTTTCTTTACTGTATAAAAGTCCAGAGTGGAAGTGAACTATGATTGGCCAGCCATCTCCTCATTGATGGAGATAAATGCCCTTGGATATTACCCTTTAGAGATAATAAAATATCCTGTTTTTATACACATATGAATAGTTTGTATGAATAAAGAAACAGTATTTGTTAGGTAGAAGGAAATAAGGCATTTTACTTTCTCTTTAAATTTTTAATTGAATTTTTTCCATATAGTATATTTTGATCATATTCTTTCCTCTTCCAAACTCCTCCCAGATTCCCCCACCCACATCCCTACCCACCCAAATTCATGTTCTTATTCCCTCTCAAAGGAAAAAAAAAGACCAAAGAAAGCTACAAAAAACAAAACCTGAAAATCAAAACAAACTTAAAACAAGAAAACCAATGAGACAAAAACCGAACCAAAGCAATATAAAACACAAAAGGTAGATTGAAGTATGGCTACTAGACACAGTGATGCCTTAAAATCAACTTAAAGGGAGAGGTACAGCTCTATTGTGTTGGGGCCACCAAGAGGCAGAACCAAGAGTCAAGGTAGGGAAGCTGTAGAAGAGGGAGAAGGGAGGGGAGGAGGGAGCCAACAAGACAAGGGCAAGAGAGATCCTATTCAAGGACATGCTCCCAGTTGCTAGGGCCCACTTCCTGAAGGCTCTATCATCTCCCACCAGTACCACTGGCAGTCAGATCTCCCATTGTCCTCTGCTCCCAGCCCTTCCTGCGCCCATGACGTCATAAGAATGCGACAACAGTTTTTCTTCCTCCCAGATGGGAATCTTTTTTTTAATTTTATTTTTTTAATTTGTTTGTTTATAAAAATTTCCATTTCCTCCCTTCCTCCCCATACCCTCCCATTCCCCCCTACTCCCTCTTCCCCCCCACTCCCTCTCCTCTTCCCTCTCCAGTCGAAAGAGCAGTCAGGGTTTCCTACCCTGTGGGAAGTTCAAGTTCCTCCCCACTCCCTCCAGGCCTAGGAAGGTGAGCATCCAAACAGACTAGGATCCCAAAAAACCAGTACATGCAGACGAAACAAGACCCAGTGCCATTGCCAATGGCTTCTCAGTCAGCCCCCATGTCAGCCACATTCAGAGAATCCGGTTTGATCACATGCTCGTTCAATCCCAGTCCAACTGACCTTGGTGAGCTCTCATTAGATCAGTCCCCTTGTATCAGTGGGTGAACGCACCCCTCGCGGTCCTGATTTCCTTTTTCATGTTCTTCCTCCTTCTGCTCCTCATTTGGACCTTGGGGGGCTCAGTCCGGTGCTCCAATGTGGGTCTCCGTCTGTATCCATTGTCGGATGAAGGTTCCCTCTGGTCCTGCCTATCTTGCTCACGTTTTCCCTCCTTCTGCTTCTCATTTGGATCTAGGGAGTTAAGTCCAGTGTTCCAATATGTGTCTCTGTCTTTATCTCCATCCATCGCCAGATGAAGGTTCTATGGTGATATGCAAAATATTCATCAGTATGGTTATGGGCCAAGGCCAGTTCAGGCACCCTCTCCTCTGCTGCCCAGGGAAGAATCTGGGGACCTCTCCTTGGGCCTGAGAACCCCTCCAGAAACAAGTCTCTTTCCAACCCTAAAATGGCTCCGTTAGTTGAGATATATATACTTGCCTGCTCCCATATCCATCCTTCCTCCCCCTCATCTTATTCCCCCACGCCATCCCCAATCCTCCCCCTCTCCCTTCTCTCTAACCATCTCCCCTTACTTCCACCCCCGCCCCCGTGCACCCAAGTGGTGCAGATGGGAATCTTTTGTCCCTGAGCCAGCGGCGCTCAGATCTTGGAGGTCTGTCGCTCACACAGCCTCCACTCCGTGGCTCTGTTGGTTTGCACTGGCCACTGAACAGAGGCCCCACCAGTCTTCCCGACACCCTACCTTCTCAGGTCCCCTCACCAGCACTTTGCGTGCTGTACTCTACCGTCTGCCCCCGCACCCACTAAGCCGGTGGTGACGTCTTTGTCCTTCCTGGGTTTGCTGAGTAGCAGTTGTCCCACTGTGTGCACTGTGTCCGCAGGCTGTGAGCGGAGTTCTTTGAAAACCGTGAGCCCGGAGGCAGACAAAAGCGGGACCCTGCTCATGGCTCCACCTCAGAAATCCAGCACGTGGCTCACTTCTCCTCTAGCCCGTGGGCATAATGGGAACCCCTCACCTCACTGTGGCCTCATGGCCCTGCCCTGTTTGGTCATCCTGTTCCTTTCTGCGCTTCTCTCTCTGGCACCCAGCATTGCCAGCACAAAGCTCCCACCATTCCCCCGCAGTGAACTCTCATAGGAAGTCTCCCATTGCCTACCTACCCCTTCTACCCAGGAGTCAGAGAAGGGGCTTGCCAAACAGTAGCATGGACTTGGTGACTGTCCTATGAAATGCCTGTCTGGACATTGCAGATTGGACCATGTTAATAAGGGCATTGGCATTTTGCTAGGAGAATGTTGGACAATAATAAAAACCAGCTAAGTCAGCTCAGTTGAAGACACAATGTGGAAAATACCCAACTTTATTAGACCCAGCCTGGCTCTTCTCCCAGAAAGGCATACGGGGAAGAAGATGCTTGCCTTGCTTAATTAAACCAAATGACACCGTGCATATTCTAAGCTGTGTGAGGAAGTCTTTAGAGGCAGACAGACTGGAGGCCAGTCTTGATTACATTTTTCCTTTGTGTTTTGTTAGTGAATCCATGAATCCTGAACGCATTCTTGAGTCCCGGGGAGTGGCCTTCTGGGAGTGACTCTGAGCATAGAGTCAGTGTCCAGTGTCTTTGGGATGCTCAGGGAGTCTCC